TCTGTCCCTAGGTACTCCCAGCTGGAGCCCCACAGCGCCTTCGCAGCTCTTTTATCTTGAAATTGCCCTCAGCTCCTGCAAATGACTAAAAACTTTTTTTTTTTAAAGCAGCTTCTTTGCATAAGGACTCTTGGCCTCAGGGAACCCCAGCTGGTATGAATCGACTTCAAAGGATTTACATCAGCAGCAGATACATCCTCCTGGCTTTATTCTCCCTGTGAAGCACCAGGAACTCCTCTGACAACGTCCTCCAGAGGGCAATAGGGACAGGAATAAGAACAGGACTATGGCTGGAGCCAGCGTGGGGCTGGAAAGGCCAAGAATTGCACGTGACTTTCCTTAACCTTCCTAGGAAAGGGAGAGAGAGTCTTTTCTTCCACGAAGAGCAAGAAAGGTGGGATTTTCCGCACTGAATCACCAGAGAGCTTTCCCACGTGTGGCTGGCTGGCTGGGTGCTGCCCTGCCCTCCACCTCGTATCCCATGCGGTGGCCCCAGAGCCAGCATGCTTGGGCTCCTCAGTCTGGCAAATCCCATCATAAATCAGGCCAATTTGTGGTTTTTTTTTCTTTTTTCCTCTGCACAAACCCAAAGGCAAGCAAGCTTTGCCTGCAGAGTGTGTGGTTAGGATGGGGGGGAAGGACTAGCTGCTGGGTGGTTGAAGGAGCTGCCGTGCGCATGGTGGTCCCCATGGTCGTGTCCCCGCGGCCGAAGAAATAAAAGCAAATAGCACAGAGAAAACGTGAGCAGCGAGGGTGCAGTGTGGGCAGCCAAGAGGGGAACTGGGAGCAAAGGCAAGCAAGCTTTGCCTGCAGAGTGTGTGGTTAGGATGGGGGGGAAGGACTAGCTGCTGGGTGGTTGAAGGAGCTGCCGTGCGCATGGTGGTCCCCATGGTCGTGTCCCCGCGGCCGAAGAAATAAAAGCAAATAGCACAGAGAAAACGTGAGCAGCGAGGGTGCAGTGTGGGCAGCCAAGAGGGGAACTGGGAGCGAATCCTCCCGACAATGATCAAGGAAATTGCTGCCTGCACGCACGAAGCTGGAAAGAAACTGCGATTCCCTCTACCAGAGAATACATGAAAAAAGGGTCACTCACTGCTGGTAATCAAAGAATGATTCAATTTCTGGGAGACTTAATTTGGTTCAGATGACTTCTGCAGTTACTTCAGAGCCTGCAAAACAGGAAGGCTCCACGCGACGCGATGGCTTGTTCTCACACAACCCTCCAGATGGTTTTAGACCTCTGTGACTCGCTGGGAAGGTCAGCTGCACCGCCGTGCCTATTTGGTTATTAACAATTTCGGTCGGGGCTTACATTATCTCCACACTTTTCATCAGCTGAACGTGTTAATTTTGTGGTCCTGTGGTCGAGGTAGAGAGAAGGGAGCCGCAAGCCTGTTTCCTGATATTGCTTTTTTTTTTTTTAAGGGAAAATCCCTCTTGAGTCGGAGTGGGCGTCTCCCTCCCACGTACCTCCTCGTGCGCGCGCGTGTCCGTGTGCGCGCCCGTCTGTACAATGAGGCTATCGGCGCTTATTTCCTTTGTAAAAGGCACCGAGATGATTATTAATTATGAAAATAACGGCACACGTCCACATGTTGCTGATGGGCGTTACCGTAATTGCCGATCCGAGGGCCGCGGCACGCTCGTGCGCGAGCTCTTTGAAGCAGCAGCGCTCCCGTTTGCTGGATGCAGTTGACGTTTTCTCATTGCTCGCCTGCAATCTGTTTGTTTTACCCTTCGTCATCAAATCGATTTAACGAAGGGATGGTCGTTGCAGAGGTTTGCACATGACATCGTGTCATTGATCTGCGCAGAGAGGCGGCAATGTGCTTTCCCCACCCCGCAGGCAGATGGCAA